GATTTACCTGTCTCAAAAGATCCGCTAGTGTTCTTGGAAGTGCTTCGATATTCTTCAGGACAACGTAGTAAGGGAATGGGAAAGAGTCGAGATATTTACAAAACTTAATGTCTTTCCCTTGAACCGTAGCTTCCTGCAGAGTCGTGAGAATAAATTAATCAATAAAACATTCTTCCTGAAAAATTATCTATAAATGTATTTCAAGGCCAAAAAAATTACCATGAAATCCATAATGGACTCGTTCGGGCTATCAAGGAGAAGGAAAGCAACCATGCGCTTCTTGCTCAGGATATCTCTCACGTACCGTTTCAATTTTTCCTAGTTCATGGGAAAATAATATATATAGTGATAAGAAATGGACATCATTTTCCACCAAAAAAAAAAGAAAAGAATAAATTAAAAAAACGAAGTACATACTTTCTCGTTAAAACGGCCATCTGCTATAATGAGAACAAGCTGCTGTAGAGGGTTGTACCCAGATGGCAACCTTGCCTGCATTACTGCAGTATCCATCATGTTGTTCAGATATTTCAGAAGGTCAACCATTGGCTCGTCTGCTATTGTGTTCTCTTGCTTAAAGGTTAAACTCGAAACCATCTGTCCCACAAANAAAAAAAAAAAAAAAAAGAAAAAAAAAATCGAGCAATCAATAAGTATTTAACAAATACCAGCAATCACAGCAAAAAAGTTGCTTAGTTCATTAAAGATTACTAATGTTGAGGTGAAGTCTAATTTCAGAAACTAACCTCAATACCAGATTCGGGAGTGAAAGGCTTGTCGAAATCGTGAAGTAGTCTTATGTTACCCTGCTGCCCGAAACTCGCGACGGCCAAATTCCCCACCTCGAGTTGGGACATTGCACGACAGACAGTAACAAGTGCTTCAACTGCAAAATCCCCACAACGCCCTTCAGACATGCTTCGGGAATCATCCACGGCTATTACGACCTGATAATCACGTTTGCTGGGCTTGGTTCGCCTCAGCCATATTTTGTCTTTCCGATAATGGCTTGCAACATATGGAATCACCTACAAGTAACATTAGCCTGAAGTCAATGTTTGACCAAATTATACAAATGGGGATACTTACAGAGGGCATTCTCTAGTTTTTTCATCTAAATATAGAAAACCCAGTAAACTCTGAAATTACGAAGAATCACTCGATTCGGTTTCATATTTTTATTTATATGAAGGGAGATTTGAATTGTTTTTGGTAAAAGTGTAAGGCAACACTAAATTTCATTGGTAGTATTTGTAAATCTGAAAGCTGGTTAGTTGTTTTATTTTTGTTGGTTAGTGTAAGAGCACCATTTGAATTAAACCCTGACATAACCTCAATTATCTTTAAAAAATTCACACCCCTTGTGAGGTTGTGCATTTTCCCTTTAGAGCACAATTTGTACCATCGATAAATATCAAGGGAGAGTTTCTAATTTTAAAACGCAGCTCTGATTCTTTTTGTAATAGACTTAGAAATACATTTTACAATCATAAAAATATAGTCTTAGAAATAAGTTCCACAATTGTAACGTACCTTCTTCATATTAATCCTTTTACCAGTCTTATAATCGCCTTGTAGTTTGCTAGCTAGAGTGGGTTCCATGACTAGCCGCAACTGTTCTGCTAACTCCTGAGACAATCTTGTTGTACGCTTCTCATATCTTCTCCATATAGCAACAGCATCTTCCCTCTTATCAACAGACATCTCAAATCCACGCGCTTTCCCCAGCCCATCATCTTCATCCATCGAGAACTCGCTATATTTATGTAAAATCTCACTCATGTACGATCTTTTCAAGACCACACTATTCTCGGACAAGTTACTCATATCCTCGTGATTATCATCACCATCGATTTCCATAGCCTCTCCCGACTGCTTATCCAAATCCGACACCATCTGCTTCTGCATAACATCATCATTTACTCTATCAGGGGCCAAATTTCTGATCGGACCAGATTCGGAACCATTCTTCTCAATCTCAGTCTCGACAGTGGGATCTCTCTCAGTATTATTCCCATTATCTCTCTCGGCATCGTTTTGAGCAAAATCTCCATTGATTTGTTCGGCCGTTGCAGGCCCAAGTGCCTGTGCAGTTCCCTCCTTGAAATCAGCCGTGTAGCCATACTCGTCCGCATTCTCCTCCGCCATATCATTTGAATCGTCCATTCGTTCTTCGAGGTCAACCGAGACTTTGATTCTCTCTTTCCACCCATCCAAGGCATCACCCACACTGCGAAAAGGGTTCGGCTGAGCTTTCTGATTATTATTAAGAGATTCCGAATTAGGTAAAGAAGCTCTCGACTGCTCGTCGCTCAAATTTGTCCCACTTCTCGAATCGGCAACTCTCACTTCAAGAGCAGAGGCGTTCGGCTGGCCGCTCGTCTGAGCAAGATCCTCCCTTTTTTCTCCAGAATTCTGATTTTTATAGTCCGACGGCCCAAATTCTCCTAAATCGGCCGTTTCGGCTAACACGGACTGCCCCCCAGAATTAGCATTATTATTATTATTATTATTTTCGTCGGGCGTAGGCTGCACTGAATCTCGTTTGGGCAACTTGAATTCAGTACCCTCATCATTTTCTACGCAACTCTCATCTGCATTTGCATTTGCCGTCTGCTCACCACTCTCTCCATCTGGCTCGTCTTCTAGAAGCTCATCTTCCCTTTCCTCACCGTCCTTCAAATCTGAACCGTCCAGATTTACAGATTCGTCATCATCTTCCATAGGATCGTCATTCTCCAATCCATCCACGCCTTCTTCCTCTTGACTGGGCTTTTCACTGAGATCCTCCGGATCAATTCCTGTGGGGTCCGCAAACGCATCATCCTTGTCCAATTTCATATCCTCCTCCTCTCCAGAATGATTTTCTTCATCTGCATCATCACCATTACTGTCCTTTTGCGGCTCGTTGGACTCGTTTGCCTCTAAATCTCTTCCGGAACCTTCATCCACAGCAGAATCTTCCTTGGCCCGGAATTCATCCTCTTTCGACGAGGCTTCCTTTACAGGGGGCCCGCTTTCGTACTTCTCGTTCGAGTTTTTGTTCTCGTCGTCATCATGTGGGTCCCTGATTTTCTCACTGACTGTGTTATTATTCTCATCGCCTATTTCGCCCATGGCAGAGTCCAGCTGCGGATCATCTTCATCGTCATTTTCATCTTCTTCGGAGTCCTCACTGACACTGAACGTGTCACCGCCAAAATCCTCTTCCATCTCGATCCCTTTCTCGTTTTTACTCGGGATGTTAGCATCGTGCTCTTCGTTTGGCTTTTCGAAATAGGAAAAATATATTGATGAGTGAATGAGTGAATAAAATAAACACATCGAAATGAAAGATTTGAATAAAATGGGAGTTTTGTGATGTTAAAAATAAATGAAATTGGCAAAGCTACACTTGAGGTTTAGATGAATTACTGAAAATCCCACTTTTCTTTCATAGTTACAATCACAGGCTGAAATTTATTGCTAACTGTATAAGATTATATTGTTTTCCAAAGATAGATTCGAAAATGGAGGGATTTGAAAAAGGAAAGAGCAGGAAAACTTTTAGTTATAATAGCTAAAACATGTCATTTCAGGTGTCTCATTAATACACCAAGTGGAAAAAATAAAAGAGTGTTGCTTTGTGTAAAGCAGCAGAAAATAATGGGACAACTGAACCGAATAAAAAACTTCCAAAGTCCAAAATGGTTATGGTGGGATTTGCTAAAGAGATTTATATGTTTGGATTTATTTTTTTCCTTCCAATTTTGAGGTGGGCTAATATTTTGTAATACCTTTTTTTTTGTGGGCCCTAACTTTGGGACAATTACAAAAAGTACTCAAGGTACAGCCCAATTGCAAAACAAACTCAAAATTACACAAGATACACTGGGAATTGACTTGGTGATCAAATGAAGGAGCCAAATGTAGAGATGAAAATGAAATTTTGAGAATATTCTTTGCAAGTAGTTCAAAACTTCTTTTATTTTATTTTTTTGTGAATACGCCTCCGACATAAGGGATCAAGGAAGGTCCCTACCACTTTTATTCATATAGTTTTTTATACACCTTTTGTACATGCCTTAAAGAAGGAACTTCCAATTTGCTAATTCGGTCAAACCTGGAGTACTATTGCAATTATTCCCGTCTTAAGTGACGAATATCTCACTCCTGAGGGTACAATTTGCAAAAGATTAAAAGAATGCAACCATACCTTATCATCTGTTCCGAGGAGCTGATCTTCATCTTCTATTTGTTCACTGACATCATTCAAACCGACACCTTCACCCATACCAGTGCCGTGTGCCTCTTCAGTCTTCTCTTTCCCGCTCTCATTTTCTTGCTCCTCGGTAATACCAAACCCTTTGGCAAATAATGAAGCCAAAATATTTGCAAGCGCGTAGGTCACTTTAGATACCTGCAGTTAACAGAACGATGCAATTTTTCATGGCCTAGAAATATTACAATTAACATCTAAAATTTAAGACTGAATCAAACCTCAGGTTTATGTTGCAATGTTGCAATTTGTTTAGCTCTTTGTAATTTTTTATGTCTATTACTATACTTTAACAAGTTCTGCTGCACTTGTTCATCTTAAGGCTAAAAAAAAAAAAAAAAAAAATNAATTAATTATAAATTATAAGACATTAAGGGCATGTTTGTATACAAAAAAAATTCCCTCAAATGGTATTTTTTTATTAACTAAAGTTTATTTGGAAAAAGATAGTATGGTTAGTTGTTAGTGGGATTTTGAATTTATATTAAAATAATATTTAAAGTAAAATAATTAAAGCTGATTTGATGGAAAAGTAGGAGAGATGATGTGAAGTGATTGTTAGTTAAAATTATGTGAGTCAATGAATAGTAAATTAAAGTTGATGTAATTTGTAAGAATAATGGATTGATATTATTTTAATTATATTGATAATATTGAGGATAGTGGGGTTGGGTTAAAGTTGAGCTAAAAAAAATGATTGAATTAAAAATGATTGGTTTTTTTCGATCGAATCCATATCCGATCACACCCTAAGTTGACATATAAATGGCACTTACAGCAGATTGGATAATTTTGAGCACATCTTCACAAATGAGGTCTAGCTGTAAGCGCTCCACATCCTTCTCGAATAGAATTTTCCACTGGTTCACATTATTTAATGTTTCCTCAGTCAGAGTAAAATCGTAACTCCAAGATTGAACATTCTCAAATGCGCCGAGGATGTGCTGGTACGTTTCCTTAAGGACGATGTTGAAATCATGCTCGAGTTGAATTAGATTTTTCCCACTATTTGAGAACTTCCTTGCCTCTGAAGAATACACCACTTCAGCATTACGAGCCTACAAAAGTTTTTCAATAGAGAAAAATTTAATATTTCAATATTTAAAAAATAAATGAAATACAAAACTACTAGATATTAGTGTAAAATACTGCACATACTTTCGCAAACAAGTCCTTAAAATGTTCAAGCAAGATACTCGTAACAGCTCCTAGCTGGTCGTGAGGCACACGGAAAGCAGAGAGATCCTTTTCGAATGATTTAATCAGCTCAAAATTATCATTCGCCAACTGTTCCATTTCTTTTGTAACCCCATAAGGATGAAGTACAATTCTTATCATGGTATTATCTTCATAACTCCCAAGAAGATAGTTATCTAGCAAACTCTGTCGAAATAATTGGGAAAATAAAAAAAAAAAAAAATGTTAAACAAATGTTCAAACTCTAATAATCAATAAGGACGTGAGATTACAACGTATTTTACCTTAGATTTCTGAAAGTCAGGAAGGGTTTTATGAATGAATAGACAGAGTTCTTTTACACTGTCTTTGACATCAGAACAAGAATCAAGATGATTTTTCTCAACTTTTTGTAGCATCAGATGTTCTTCATAAAGCAGAGAGCAGAAAGCATCAAAGATTTGCTGAAATATTTAAGCACAAGGTTAGGTTGGGATTTGACAGAGAACTATAAAAGGGCATTAGCCAGTTTAATTTGGGAATAAAAAAGGTAGCCAGCAATTACCTTTTGTTGCCACATGCAATTGAAAGTGACATGTTGGTTCTTGCTTAAATGGGCATCACAATTAGTTTGACTAGCCAAGTTAATGGAACTGAACAAATTTGATAAAGGCCATATGTACTGTCTCAAGCATTTAAGTTTGTCCGCAAAACTGTATGCAATAGCTCTTTGTTCTTGTTGTATCTCTATGAGATGATCAACGTAAGAACCTGACCTTTGAACCTGCCACAGAGATACAACAATGTTCTCAATCTGAATTTAATGAATATAAAACTAAAAGCTCTAACGAAGAAATAAACATCACCTTTTGTACTACTGAAAGGATGAAAAGTTTATTTGCAATATCATCGAAAGTACATAAAATAAAAGGAATAATTACAAAATACAGACCGACATCTGAGGTAGTAAACTACATAAAAAAAACAAAAAAAAAAGGTCAAGTTTCTCTTTAATACTAAAAATATCCCCTTGAGGTTTTTATATACACATGCAGACCTTATATGTTGAGGAGTGAATTTGACGTTAAAAGATAGCAAGTTTTCTTAAAATTTAGGCTAAGCCTTAAAGAGCACTCACAAAGAAGCCACAAGTAAAATCCAGCTAAAGAATCAGATAACAGGGGCTTAAATAACTAAATCAAGTAGTCCATTAACTTATCCACACAATTTCTCCAAAGTTACCTGTACGAGACTAAAATCTTTGTGAAAATTCAGGCATATTTTCTCCAGAGATTTGACGGATGCAATGCTCTTAAAGTAGAACTTATTCGCTGTTTTCCATATGAGTTCACAAGATGAACTCTGAAGATGATCGAAGTCAACATCAATGATCTGAGAAGAACTGCCACTTCGAGTCAGCAACAAATGCTGCACTTCATAGGATGGCTGAAGAAGCCATGACTTTTCATATTGATCCTACATAACAAAATAAATTAGTTATTATACAAAGAAAACAAAAAGTAACCCAATCTACTAAAGAACCACACGTATTATATTTACATATTAAAATCGGATTAGGGAATATAATTTGTGGTGTCTGAGGAAAGNTGAGACTGTATACAGAGGATAAATTTTTACACACTCAAGAAATGGATGACAATGAATATATTAAAATAAGGGTTGACATTACCTCCAAAGATTTCCTATGCTTGGACAATCCACAACTATCAAGGAGCTTTAGAAGGTCCGAAAATGCCCTCCTTTTTCCCAACCGCTTGCTAGTGTCTTCCCAGAGCTCACCACAATGAATTAGGGACAAGCATAAGTTCTCAATTGTATGCCACAACTGGTTTCTCTCATCCCAATTAGAAAAGCAAGAAGATTGCGAAGGTATACTATCCTTGATGCTGACCATAACATCTGCATGATTTTCAGTTTCGGTTTGCTTAAGAATGTCAACATCGAAAATTGCCAACTTACAAAAGATCAAGAAAAAATGATCAAACCTCTGGCTCTCTCTAAGTTCTTCCACCAGTCAGCAAACCATATACAGCTGTGATCCCAAACAAAA